AGCTGCCGCTCCATGTAGTCGATGTCTGAGTACTGCACGTCCTGTGGGAGGACACAGGGAAACCCAGGGGCTGAGGGTGGTGCAATCCATTTCCAGAAGGGAGCAACTATCCAATACTGATGGTGAAGTTAAAAGGTTTCTCCTGGCTCTGTCAAATCATACCTCCATGACAGTGTGGCATGTGATCCGGGAAGTTTATCGAATTTTTTTAAATGTTAAGTCATAACATAGAAACAACATAAATCAGTAAAACATAGAATGATCTTATCTATCTGGAAGGGCAGTGATAAGGATAATAAAAACTCTGACGGGGAAAATGGTTTTGAAAAGTGCCAATGTAAAGAGTGATCTTCATTAATGCCCCAGTTGTCCGCCATTGGGATCACAGTAGTTCATATTCAGAGAAAATTGTGTGAGCAACTCTCCAGTCACAGCACAATACTGACAGAAAAATAGCACAAAACAAAACAAAACAAAGCAAAAGCTTGCAATTACTTTAGAATATCCAATCTCAGTGGTAATCAGACACAATTTGTTATTATGATGAAATTTTGCATGACAGACTTTCAATTAATGCAACTGTTGTGAACAATAGAAAAGTGATTAATTTAGTATGAAAGTGCTCCATGGAGTTTTTCTGATTGTTGCACCCTTTGGTTCTCCACTGAGGCATAGATTTTCATTCCATGGATACTTTCTCTGAAATGCATGCCAGGTTACCCACATTCAGAGCACACGGAATGTAGGTCTACAGCTGCCAAGCACTGGAACAGAGGACAGATCTCACCTGCAATGGCCTAAAAGCACTGGGTTCATTCTTCTTGATTAGGCAAAACTAATGCTTAACATTTTTTTCAGTACTGGTGATTAAATCTAGGGCCTTGCACATGCTAGCCAAGTGCACACCCGTTGGGCTACATCCTTAGCCCTTTTTAGTATGCTATTTCAGGGGAGGATTTTGATAAGATATCTAGGCTTGCCTCACACACAGCTGGAATCAGCCACCAGACCTCATGCTAAGGGATATTTTATTCTTATGGAATGTGATGGGACTTACTGGTCTCTCAGTGTACCCTGGGGAGGAGACAGGGCAAGAAGGAGGAGACAAGAAATAGGACCTCAGTCAGGTGGAGGCCTCTGTACTGGATGGGTAAGAGAACTGAACAACAACAGCAGAGGGGTTTATTTATACTCTTGCAAAGTCAGTATTACGAGACACAAGGTTGCTATAGTAAAGACTGAAATTGTCCAGGCAGGATGCTTTTCCCAAGACTAAGGTAGCTTAACTATTTAGGACTCTGTCCTGCTCTCACACATAGGACCAATTTCCAGCTTCAGATGCTCCCAACAAGAATCAAGAACTTTTTGACCAAATCTTCTGAAGTCATGTAAGGGGAATACAAGGACGCATGTACAGCAGAAAAAGCCTTGCATCACCTTGGTAAGAAGGGACAGAGCCCATCTGCATTACAGTGCTGGGTGAGGCATCATATGACATCATGTGAGAAAGAACTCTGTGCCTTTGTACCACTTTGCAGAAGTCCAACAAATAAATCCAGATACAGAGACAAATGAGTTAGCTACAAGGTCTCAGAACTAATGCACAATGTCCTTTACATACATAGGGGATCTTGGCAGCCACCATGTCATCATACAGACTGGCAATCTCAGAGTCATTCTCATATCCATAGCGACACAGCTGGAACCCCAGGGCCCAGTAAGGCACCATCACAGGCCGACCAATCACCTGGAAAATACACAAGATATTAATTCGTGTGGCAGAAGTCAGATTTAAGCTGTACAGGCAGTAATAAAAGTATTTCTCCAGGGCTGCAAGATAAAACATCAATGAGTACAAATCCAGAGATAATCTGAGGAGATGCCGAGCTACCGAGCTACCAGAATACCAGAAGTAAACTGCTAAACTAGAACTCATTATTTAGGAATTGGGGAAAATTTGGTTTTACTTTAAGCCCTAGAGTTTGTCATGGTTAGGAGCACAGAACCCAGAGAAAAAAGAGTCTGGGTTGGCAAACAGGCTCCATGTGTGCTAGCTGTGTGACCTTGTGAAGCACTGATGTGTTTCTGTTTCTTCATCTGTAAAAGAGCATAATGATAGTGACCCTTATATTTTTATGAAGGTGACAGAGCAAATATATGAAGTAGTGCTCAACCTGCAATAAGTAAAAGATGAATAACATGAAGAATAGCATGTGTTTGTTGCCACAGATGACACTGTTACCCTCTCTCCCTCACCAGTATCACCTGTCGTCCTATCACCACCACAGACACAACAATCAACACTGTCACCCTCACCTCAACCACCATCACCACCAGAGCCAGAACCAAAACACCCACAATCCACTACCATCACTGCCATCACTATCATCATCCCCTAACCAACAGCACCCACGCCATGACCACCATCAAAATCACAACACTCACAACCACTCCCACCCACACCATTAGAGCTACTATCAGCACTACCATCCCTAATATGCACCATCACCAAAATCACTATCACCGTAACCACCCATATACTACCACTAGTCTCAGCATTGCCACAGGTACCATGACTCCTGCACCCACATTGCAACAGTCAGAGAGGATATGAATATAACGATTATGCAAATGCATTTCTTGTTGCTCAGTATCACTTGTCTCTGAAAAAGACCAACAACTCCAGCTGTCAAGTGAGATTTACACAAGTTAAGGTTGGTTTTAGAACACGGAATGAGCTTAGTAAATATTTCATAAGCAGATAGATTCCTTCCTACCTCGGTGTACTGCTGAGTGACAAGCTCTGGAGTTGGGCCCAAGAACACATAAAAGTCCAGAACTCCCCCTGTGGTGCGGTATGTCAGGGCAGGCATGGGCTGGAATGTCACGTCTGAAAAGACAGGAAAATGATGCCAGTAATCTAAAAAGACAGGAAAATGCCTACAGTGGAGATGAAGTAGCCTGACATACATACTGTTCTCTTTGGAACATCACATCTGAAAAGTTAGGAAACTTCCAACCAAGGTCTAAATCTAATCTCTCTTTTTCACTTTAGAGTATTAAGGGCAGATAATCTGCAAGAAATGCAGAAATGCTAATCCATAGGCTCCATCTCTGGATGTTTCCCCTTTGGTGGGCCTTATTATCATATTATATGTTTTGCCATTCTACTTCTTTGAAATTATTGTAACTTTTAGATCAGAAAACATTGAAGACACACAGGAAGTAGCAGAAATATGCCTCAGAATTTCTGTATACTTCACCAAGCTTTCCCCATGGATAGCAGCTTATTGAACACTACTAAATGAATTTATTCACATTTCGCCAGGTTTCACTTCTTGATTCCTTCAAAGTCCCTGATTTTTCTCTTCTATATCACACAAATTTTAGTCACACTTCCTACACTTACAGTGAGTGCTGTGATCCATACCTTCACAACTATTCCAAGTTAGACAGTTGTTCGCACTAGCTGCCTTAAAGGTTATTAGAAGTTCTTTTTCCTTTTTATGTGACTTTTTCCAAAATAAGAGCTCCGTGATCTTGTTTTTATATGTTACTCAAATGAAATGAGAATATTAAATTTAAAGTCAAAAGTCCCCTGCCACAAGGTAAATATTTTGATCTCTGAATGCAGCTAGGTCTCACACATGCTAACATTACAGAGCAGTAAATAATATTCACAAAAAAGGGAGGCACTCGCATCATCCTACCCATGGCATTGCTGTTCAGCAGGAGCACGCTGTGGGCACTGCCATCCTCCTCGAGTCCCATGTAGTAGGGGTGGACACCATAGGAATTCATCTTGTACTAAGAGACATGGGGGAAAAGGGAGAGGGAGTTAGAACACATTGTGACTGATTAAGAAATTCAATGAGTATGTTCATTAAGATGGGTCTTATCTTTTCTGAGAAATAAGTCACACACAAGAGAAAGAAAGCTACCTGCAAAGAGGCACGCTTGTCTACAAGCACAGTGTGACAGCTCAGGTGGAGCCAGGGAAGACGCAGCACAAAGCACGCTTACCCCCGGGGGCTGGTCTCGGGAAAACATGCCCCACGTGTGCCAGTTCAGGTCTCTCCGAAAGGCTGTGTGCTCCGTTTCCCCAAAGCCATAGATGTAGGAGGAGGGCAGGCGGGTGGAGATGCGGAGGAACATGTCATTGAAGGTGAAGCCCAGGACCTGCGAGTCCCAGCTGGGAAGTAGAAAGGTAGATTTCAGAGGAACTTCACCTTTCCTACTGAGTCTGAGCACTGACTTTCCAAGGACAACAGAACTGCTGCTTCCCTCCCACCAGCAGACCCTGTTCCTCTTCCAAGTAGAACACAAAGTTACGGCTAAGATAAACACAGTGCCCTTGCTGAAAGCCTTAGTCAGCCTCCCTTCCTCTTTCTCTACCACTGCTCCTTTCACAGCTCGTCCTACAACAGCAAAGCCAGTCACTTCCCACCGTCTCACCTGCCACCCTCCATGCCAGCCCTGCCCTGCGCTCTCGATCCGTGATATTCCATTTCCCTCGTGCATGCTGAGTGATATTTTCTGAGAGAAACTAACATCAGGTTATTCCACTATCTACATTTTCAAGAGGCTTCTCATGTAAAGACCATGTAAGGAAAGTCTCTAAGGCTGCACCTGACCTATATAACATCCCAGCTTCACACTACCGCTTACCTCCTTTGTACAGCACTAGTCTTCTACCACTTGACAGCCAATTTTCCTCCTGGCCTGTGACCTATGCACTATCTTTCCCTCTATCAAGGGAAATATCCCTCTTTTCATCCTCCCAGAACATCACATGCAATTCATACCTCCAGGGCCCTCCTCTACATCCAGGCCCCACTCAAATGCCACCTGCTGGGAAAGGCCCACTCTGGCCACATTATCAAAAGTGCTAACCTCTCAGGTCTCTGGATTTCCCTGTTCATTTTCCTACACAACAGTTACCTCTGTCTCAATTTTACTCTTACATTGTCATGTAAATTGTCTTGGAAGAAGAGAGACCTCCTCTGTCCATAAGCATACAACCTAGAAAAGCAGGTCAAATGGAGAAGGTACCCCATAAATACTGATTAGTTGGACAAATTCCCAGCAATACGCAAATGTCTCAGCAAGTACCCTCATGATGCAAAAGACTTCTGAGTAAACAGATCTGAAGGAAATAACTAATTCATAGACCTGGAAATGAACAGTATCTGGTGTCAGGAACAAATGGCTGCCAAGGGACATGTGAATAACCAGCAATTCCAAGTCACACTAGCAGACACTTACATTACAGTGCCTGTACTCTTCCGGCGAATAACTACCCCAAACGGATTCTTCGTAATGAGGACATCATAGAGCCGCCTCTCGGAGGTGCTGGAGGGCACCTTGGGTATATTCAGAGGGACTGGCACTTCATAACGAATGTTGTTGGGGTCATAAATCTAGAGAGAAGAAATAGATTTTAGGTAAGTACATAAAAATGGGGAATAAGCACTCTATACAGACATGACTGTAGTTAACAATACTGTAGCACAGAACTCAAAATTGTTAGAAGACATGAAGTTGAATATTCTTATTAGAAAGAAATGACAAACATCTGAGAAGACGAAAGAACCTTAGTATCACAAGGTGATCATTTCACAATAGTCTTAAAACATCACAATGAACACTATATAGATGTATGACTATTATTGTCAGTGAGAAAACCTCCTAGGCAAGGATAGTACAATTCATAGCTATACTGCTAGCAGTACCTTGACTTCCTTGATAGTATACATAAATTGGTCTTCTGTAAGAATCTGATATCTGGATTTGATCAGATTTGATCCAGATATGATTCTCTCATTCTTCACTTTAAGGCCTCAGTAAAACACTCATTTTAACATTGGTGCTATTTATACTCTTCATTCGTCTCTGCGAATATATGAGTTTTGTGAATAGCTAAAAACTATTCAGAATTGTAATGTAATCCCTCCAAAACATGAACAGGTTTGCTTAAAAAATCATAACTGTTCTTGCAGAAAATGATGAATAAAGTAATGGATTGGGTTTGCACAACATCCGCTGCATCTTAGAGTATGCGCTGGACACTAGGGAGGTGAGCTGAAAAAGTGAGGCTTATTGTTTTAAGAACTTCACACGCTAATGTGAAAAGGAGAGGTATTTACAATACCGATTGCTGTGCGATGATGCAGAACCGTGTAGAAATGCTGTGAGCTGATAGGGAAGGAAATGTTTCCCATTGGTTTGGGGAGACTGAGATAGTCTCATGTGAGAAATACAAAGAGTATTAGAAGTTATGTAGGCATCAACCAAGCATGAAACCAAGATTAAAACAGTTTAGTAAGGAAAGAAGGAACCCAAAGACACAGGGCATTATTTGGGCTCAGAAAGATACACTTATTTGGAAGACAGCTACTGCATGATCAAGAGGAAGAGTAAGCAGGAGTTCAGAATACAATCAAGTTCACTGCTTTTAAACCTTTGGTACTCACCACAAGCCCCAGATCTGGTAAGGATGCAAAGCAAAGAGCATCCGTCTCTCATCTGTCCCCAAAGGGAAGGCTCCTAATCATCCTCACCATTTCTCATTCTCCCAACCTTTCTTCTTGCAGTAGCCTTGATAAACTCTCTAAATGCACGTCAGGGCAGATCTTCCCATTCTATCAATCTGTTCTCACTGTTCTTTTGATTAGGATTATCCTCTAAGCCATTGAAGCACACAATTTAAAAGAGAAAACTAGCCAGGTGTGGTGATGCAAGCCTGTAATCCCAGTATTCTGAAAGGCTGAGGCAGGATGATCACAAATTCAAGACCAGGTCAGGGAACTTAGCAACTTAGTGCCCTACCCTGGGGTTGTAGTTCAGTGTTCAAACCCTGCGTTCAGTTCCCAAAAAAACAATCAAACAAACAAAAAAGAGTAAACTTATGTCAAGGTTATTATGATCCTTCAACAGCAAAAAGTAGTGGGAGTCAGGCATGGTGGTACTTTCCTATAACTTGCCTCCCAATACTGTGGGAGGCTGAGGTAGAAGGAATATAATTTCAAGGCCAGCCTGGCCAATTCAGTGACTTAATGAGACCCAGTCACAAATTAACAAATAAAAAATGGGATGGGGCATAGTTCAGTGTAAACACCCTGGGTTCTATTCACAGTACAAGAAAAAAACAATAATGGAACCAAAAAGACTGTGTCAGTACCTGATACGTATACTGTGTTTACCTTGAACTGCAGCATTTCATCCTTATGGTAGGTCACCTGCAGGCGGAGAGGGCTCACGGGAGTGGAGGGGAAGGCGTTGGTGTGAAGAGAAGACTTTAAGGAGATGTCAGCGCTGGCTCCATGGGAGTCATATTGAACATTGCTGACCGAGTACAAATCGTTGACAAAATAGCAATAAGGGACCCCAGGAGAGCTGGATTCCTGAAAAGTGAAGTCAATACCCTAGTCAGCATGTGCTCCCTGAAAGACTTGAAAAAGGCACTTTACACGGAGATGAAGCCACCACATCATTTATTCACTTATATATCATTTGGTACTGCCAAAAACTTAAATTACTGATCTCCAAACAAGATACTAAAATCATCGCACCCCTACCCCACAGGTCAACTTCCTTTGAAAACCCTTTCCCTGTGTGCATTATACCTAGGTGCACATGTTCCAGGACTGTGCACACGAAATTACAGATTAAGAGTAGAGGATTTCCATGAGCACTAACATCACCAGCATGCTTACCTCCCAGACGCAGCCACGGGCAAGGCAGTTTGCTTCAGAAACGCCATGCTCATCGGGGTAACAGTCTATTTTTTCTACATCCTTTATGTTTGTGCTCCACTCCACCGTGTATGCTTCTCCCAGGACAAGACTAAGATCTGAGATAATGGCAACCTGGAGGAATGGAGAAGTCATAGGAAATTCATCCTAAGGGCAAAGGTCTTCCAAAATCAGAAATGTGTGTTTAGGGAAAAAAAAAGTGTCATTAGAAGAGACTCTCAATAATCCAAGTAATATGACTATAGTTTGGATGAAGAGTTGCATATAACAGGAGGGGACTATTACATGGTCATTGGGCAAATATTACTATTCTGTCAGTATCTTGTACTTTATAATGTGGAAAAATATAGGTCAAGTAAAATCTACTGTGACCACCACTTTCTTTCATTCCCCTAACTCCTCTTCTGTCTTCCTATTGTGGCAAAAAGACTCTTCTGTTTTCTAAAATTGAGTTTTCCTTCTTGTTCTGCACTTCCAAAACCACTGTGCCCCGTGGCCTGTGGCCTACAGTGGTAGAAAGAACAGCATATCAAATTCCTGTGGTCAGGGGTCTCATTCCCATTGTCCCACGGAATCTTACACAAATTGCTTCAATTCTTTAAATTCTATTTTATCAACTTCAAAAGCAGTGAGTTCTATAGTTCATAACATTTTCTTTCATTTCTAATATCTCAGACTCTTCAGTTCTGCAAGCCTAGATACTCATAATTTTAAATGCTTTCTGAACCCCATTCAGAAATTTAAACTTCACAGTATTCTATACATTAGTCTTATGTTGCACTTACCACAGTTAACATTCTCATTTGTCTGAAGCAAGGAGATCACACTAGAGGCATTATCATCCTTTTTCTGGTCTCCTCCCAGTCTAAATCATCTTGCCTTTCCATGCCCTACTAATCCCCACCCTCAACCACTGCCTTCAGTAAAGCCTAATGTCAGCATCATTATGAGAAACTTTGAAAATTAAATCAAGTATGGCTTTCCCAGTGGGCCACCTCAAACCCTTCCAAATGGGACCACAAGTTTCCTCCCGGCCAAACCAATCTCTTTCCAAAAATGAATATACCAAAGCTTTTTATGAAAGATTTACAGACTGCCAATGCAAAGGTACTCCAAGTCCTTAGCTTGGCTTGTCATAATGTCTCAACATGTGATGGATTACAATGACAATACTGTTTTCTAGGAAAATGGTATCCAGCTTTGGATTTCACTGCTGTTTGCTTTCCCCATGTAATACATTCCTTTATTGTCATTATTTCACTTTAAAATACCAAAGTTCCACTGGGAGATGTGGCTCAGTGGCCCACTACTTGTCTAGCACACACAAGGCCCTAGTATCACTCCCCAGAACTGCAAAATAGAATACCAATTTCAAAATATTAGCTATATTTTTAATTACTGTAACACACAACAATGACTACAAAAAGTTAAATTCAACTTCCCTCAGAGTAGCTCACGAGTGTTTAATTCTTTTTTTTAATTTTAAAGAGAGTAGTAAGTGAGAAACAAACAACCAAAGAAATAGAACAGTATCAGCATACTAGTATCACAAACCTAAACAAAAGGCCTCCATCTTTATCTCTTTCATCAGCTTTCATTTTTTAAAGATATATCTTAGAACAGAGACATGGATTATTGACCTAGGTAGCCACTTCCAATCACAAGAGAAGAAAACATCTCAATCCTGATAACCTTGAGCCTCAGAACCAATACCAGGACCACTCTACCTTATATACTCATAAACAGAGAACAAAATCCCAATTTCTTACCACCTGGACTTTTTCTCAATCAAAGCTATGATCTCCTATGTGAGGCACAATCTTTCAAGACCATTGCTTTCTCCAAGAAACTTGCCTGACCTACACCAATAAGTTTTGATAATCAAATAATACAGAATAGAACACCTCCTAAATGTTGGTTTGTATTCGCCCTCCCCCCCTTTCCAATGCTTTGATGTATATAAATTATTTCTTCCCATAACACAAATTCAAACAATGAAAGAGTTCCTTTGGTTTTATTTTAATTAATATATTTGGCTAACAGAGATTGAGCTTGTTTCCATGTATGTATTTTTTAAATGGTTTCTTCTTAGCAATATACATAAACAGCCATATACTATTTATTTATAGCATTATAATGAATGTGTCCTCATTATGTGTTCTTGGAAGAGAATATCAAACATTATCAATCTGTAATCATAGTAGATGTCTAAGTTGAATTATTTCCATAAATTTGGAAAGCCCTTCACAAAATAAGCTCCAACAGCAAGAATCTTTATAGTACTTGTGATTCGGATTTCTTGGAGTACAAAGTCCATATAATGCTAGGACAGGTGTCTCCCAGGGCTGAGCTGAATCCTGGACATGTTCAAGAAGCCTAGTGATTCACCGCTGCACCTCCCTGACCAGCGTGCAAGGCAGGGGAAACCCGTGCACCCTCAGGGGCCTTGGTGGTTACTCGCCATACCCATAGTGTGTCTGCTGTGGCTGGGTTGAATGCCAGACACCTTCAGGAACCCCAGTGAGCCATCCCCACTAATGTATGAGGTACGTGGAGCCCTGGACAACTTCTAGGGCCTTGGTTGTCACTGCCAGAACAACTCGCACCCCACCTCGGGAACTCAGCTAAAACCTGGACAGAGTCAGCGGCCTCAAGGAGTCCCCCTCATCCCTCCCTTTCCATTGTGGAAAGCAGGCTCTGTCCTGGGCAATATCTGAAGCCTCAGTGAACATGACATGCATCCCCCCCCCCGCCAGTCTTGGGGAAGCTGGGCCAAACCCCACACAGTCTCAGGAACTACAGTGAGCCTCCTCCACCCTTTCCATGCAAACCTGGGAGCCAACTGAATGCAAGAAAGTTTGGGAGCATCTGGGACCCCACCTTGCCACCACTCACCAGCACAGGAGCTGCACTGAGCACAGTGCATCTTCAGACTCTCGCCCCACCACTCACACAATCAGGAGCATGAGGCTGCATTCCAGGGAGCCTCTGAAGCTTCAAAAATGACAAAAGGAAGGAGCAAAATGCAATCTCAGACCTCCACACCACCCAAAACAAGTCCAAGAGGCATCAACACAGAACAGCCTGGAAATCATACGCCTGAAATTTCTGAAATGATAGCAACTGAAGTAAAGAAACAACTCCATCAGGCCATAGAAGACATCAGATCAGAAATAATGTTTCAGGTGAAAAAGGAAATGACAACAATAATGAAAGAAATGTTCAGCATATCCAAAGATGACATTCACAAGATAATAGAAGAGTATAGACAACTCATGGAAACCTTCAGTGAACAATATAGAAAAGAACTAGAAGATATGAAACAGATGCAAACAGATATTCAGGAAATTAAAAATTCCATTGAAAGCTGGCAAAAACGCCTGAATGAAGCTGAAGACAGACTTTCAGACCTTGAAGACAGCAAAGAAAAACAATGTCAGATGAATAGGTATTAATGAAACGGCAGGTGTTAACACAAATGACAAAAAAAGACTATTTGTAGAAATAATAGCAGAAAATTTCCAAGGCATGGAAAAAGAATCAGACATCCAGATAAGTGAAGTATATAGAACTCCAGTTAATCATAACCAAAATAAATCTACACCCAGACATATAGTGATGAAGATCCCAGAAACTCAACAAAAGCTCAGAATATTAAAAGCTGTTAGAGAAAAGAAACAGATCACCTATAAATTAAAGCCTATCAGAATCACAGCAGTCTTTGCAACTTCAAGAACAACAACAGAAAGGAACCACCAAGCAGAGCAAGCAATTAAACAGAGGGAAAAAGGAAGTTCCAACAGCAGGAAAACAGCATGACAAAGATAAGCCAATACATATCCATTATAACCATCAATGTAAATGGTCTCAGTGTACCCACCAAATGAAGCAGACTAGCAGAGTGGATACTATATACAAGAAACACATTTAACTCAAAAGGAAATTCACAGACTGAAAATTAAAGGATGGAAAACAATACTCCATGCCACAGGAACCCAGAAGAAAGCAGATGTAGATATTCTGTGTGCAGACAACATGGACTTCAAACCAGCAACAATCAAAAGAGGTAAAGAAAGTCACTACATACTCATGAGGGGGAAGTTTCAAGAGGAAGAGATAACAATAGTAAACATCTATGCACCAAATATAGGAGCATTCACCCATATAAGACAAATTTTAACAGACATGAAAAATGAGAAAAGTAGCAATGCAATCATAAAAGGGGACTTTAACACACCATTGTCACAAGAGATAGATCAACTAGACAAAAAATTGGGAAAGAAATAACAGGACTTAGCCAAACATGCAAACATATGGACTTAGTAGAACTTTACAGAGTGTTCCACCCAAGAGCATCAGAATACACACTCCTCTCAGCTACACTTGGGTCGATCTCTAAAATAGACCATATACTAGTACATAGAACATGTTTAAGTAAGTGCAAAGGAATTGAAATTATCTGATGTATACTATCATACCATAGTGCAATGAAACTGGAAATTAATGACAAAAGAAAACACAAAAACTCCATAAAAAGTTGAAAATTACATAACATCCTCCTGAACTACCAATGGGTCACAGATGAAATCAAAGTAGAGATTAAACATTATTTATAACTAGACAAAAATGTACATACAACCTATGTACATTGAAATGATGCAATGAAAGCAGTCCTACGAGGAAAATTTATAGCGGTAAACTCCCTCCTCAGGAAAACAAAACAAGCACAAATAAACAATCTTATGGGCACCTCAAGTTCCTAGAAAAAGAAGAGCAAGTCAAACCCAGGGCCCAAAGAAGGCAAAAAATTATAAAGCTCAGAGCAGAAATTAACACAATGGCAACTAAAAAACCAGTACAAACAATTGATGAATCAAAGAGATGGTTCTTTGAAGAAATAAATGAAATAGATGAACCCCTAGCCAATCTTATCCAAAAAAGGAAAGAAAAAACTGAAATACACCCAATAAGGGATGAAAGGGGTGAAATCACTACAGATTCTGAAGAAATTCAGAAGATCATCAATACCTACTTTGAAAATCTCTACTCTCATAGGATGGAAAACACAGAGGAAATGGACAGATATCTAGATACATATGTTTGTTTGTTTTTTTTTTTTTGGTTTTTCTCCGGTACCGGGAACCGAACTCACGACCCTGCGCTTGCCAGGCAGGCGCTTTTGCCGCTGAGCTAAATCCCCAGCCCCTGTCTAGATACATATGAATTACCGAAGCTGAATGAAGAAGATATAAAGATCCTGAATAACTCAATATCAGCCAGTGAAATTGAGAATGTAATTAAAATCTTGCCAATGAAGAAAAGCCCAGCTCTTAATGGATTCACAGTTGAATTCAACAAGCAATTTAGAGAAGATTTAACACCAATTCTTCTCAAACTCTTTAATGAAATTGAAAGGGAAGGAATTCTCCCCAACTCATTCCTGGAGGCAAGTATTATCCTGATACCAAAACTAGAGAAAGACCCAAACAAAAAAGAGAACTACAGGCCAATCTGCCTAATGAATATAGAGGCAAAATTTCTCAATAAAATACTAGCAAACAGAAAACAACAAATCATCAAGAAGATTATACACCATGACCAAGGGGTACTCATACCAGGAATGAAGGGATGGTTCACTATGCACAAATCAATTAATGTAATACACCATGTCAATAGAGCCAAGGACAAAAATCACATGATCATCTCCATTGATGCAGAAAAAGCCTTCAATAAAGTCCAACACTCATTCATGTTGAAAACCCTACAGAAAATAGGAATAGATGACCTTTACCTCAAACTGATCAAAGCCATCTATGATAAACCAACATCTAATATCATACTAAATGGTCAAAAATTGAAAGTTTTCACTTTAAAGTCAGAAACAAGACAAACATGTCAACTGTCACCACTCCTATTCAATATAGTTCTGGAAATATTGGTGAGAGTAAATAGACAAGAGAGAGAAATAAAAGGAATAAGGATAGGAAAGCAAGAAGTGAAATTGTCATTATTCGCAGATGACATGATACTCTACATAGAAGACCCCAAAAACTCCACCAAAAGGCTCCTGGATTTAATAACCAAATTCAGTAGTGTAGCTGGATACAAAGTTAACACTCAAGAATCAATAGCACTCCTGTACACAAGTAACAAACAGACTAAGAGAGAAATTAAGGAAACCACACCTTTCACAATAGCATCTAAAAAGATGAAAAACTTAGGAATCAATCTAACAAAAGAAGTAAAAGATCTATATAGTGAAAATTATAGTACTCTGAAAAAAAGAGATCGAACAGGATATCAGAAAATGGAAAGATACTGCTTGCTCATACATAGGAAGAACCAACATTGTGAAAATGGCCATAATCCCAAAATTGTTGAACAGATTCAATGCAATCCCAGTTAAAATACTGAGAGTATCAGTATACACACAAAAAAGACCATGCACAACTTTAATTCATGAGAACTCTACATCACACCATTACATTTTAGCATCAGTTATGAGTTTCCAGATTCTTTTCCTCTGATCCTGTCCCCCATGTTTGTCATAATCCCAAAATTTTTGTACAGATTCAATACAATCCCAGGTAAAATACCATTAGTACGCCTCACAGATCTAGAGAAAACATTCGTAAAGTTCATCTGGAATCAGAAGAGGCCTAGAATAATAAAAGCAACCTTGGGAAACAAAGGAAAGGAAGGAGGCATCGTAAATGCTGACTTAAAATTACATTACAAAGCTAATGTGATAAAATCAGCATGGTACTCACACAAAAACAGACCTGAAGATCAATGGAACAGATTAGAAGATGCAGATACAACTACAAACACAGTCAGTCACCTTATCTTTGACAAAGGGATGAAACATGTTCAATGGAAGGAAGACAGCTTCTTTAATAAATGGTGCTGGAAAAATTGGCTTTCCATATGCTGAAGACTAAAACTAGACCCATGTCTTTCACCATGCACTAAATTAAAGTCAAAATGGATCAAAGATCCAAACATTAAAACAGAAACACTAAATTTATTAGAAGAGAAAGTAGATAAAAATCTTGAA